ACACTATCCGGCAATCTTTGCGTATGCAAGGATTGAAACAAATGTCTATAATCGTAGGTCATTGTCTCGTTATTCGTAGTTACGTCAGCAATTTCTTTTGCATCAATTATTGAGCTCAGATTGAGGCCTTGCTTAGCATCCAGAATAGGAATCGTTGTTTTTGTTGTTGGCGCAGGAACTTTTTGATGTTCGTCAAAGCGATGTTTATTGAAACGCATGCCACAACGAATGACCTTAGCGTGATATCTTTTCGTAGGATTTAAATAGAAAGCTGTTAGCCAAAATTCTTGCTCAAGAAACGGTTGCTCCTCGAATACTTTGGCCAGATCTTCATAATGTTTTGAAATTTTTATTTCCAAATTTTGCATAAAATTTGTGGTAAGCCCAGGATGATAACGCCACGTTTCAATAGCATTCAATTCGTGACCAATGATTTTCAAAAGTATTATTATTTTCGCGAAATGCCAGCCCTCATAAGATCGTAATGCCAATAGTTCGTAAACATAATACAAGACGTTCCCATTGTTTGGTATGTTTTGAAAAACGGTATCTAATTTCCTATCCCGGATTTCCTTTACATCATGACCAATACTGTTGTCCCTATCATCAGGATTCTCATAACTTGCAATATTACTTATCCGATTCCCTTTACATATTTTACTTTTAAAATCCATTCGTTGTACAGTACTGTGAGCAACACAATGTTTTGCTTTTTTCTTACGCAGCTCTTCTAAAAGGAAACGTTCGCTATTTTCGCGTTCTTTTACATACAAATTCATATAAGACTTGTAGAGTTGAAAGTTGGCCACAAAGTTTTCTTCATTCATCAAATTTAATTCCATTAGCATATTTCCAAGTAAGTAGCTTTTATAGGCTTGCGATATCACCCCAAATAATGTCACCAAATGTATGTCAAATGAATGATAAATAAATGCTTCAAAAAATTCTCTCTTTTCCACGAACAAATTAACACAAGTCATAGCTATGAAACGGGCCGGTGTGTATTCCACACTATTCATTGCATTATTTTGCGGTTTGGAAATTTGCATTTGAAATCCTTGGTGATAAAAACGTACATTGTTAAGCATATTGTCTATAACATAACCTCGCACGTCATCAATTTCGTAAATAGCCATCAAATATATGTGACACATAAAAATTAAACAACGCTTATCCTCGCAATTTATTGTTGGTCGATTGTCTCTAAAATTCGCATTCCAAGCAGCAATAGTACGCATCGATAATATCTTAACCATATCTATCGAATTACTATCAAATAACTTGATGAGACGTAATACAATTAAAAACAATTGCTCTTGTTCTAAATAGTTCAGGTCTTCTACATTAGCTTGGTCTTCGATGGTTTCCAAAGAATTCACTTTTCTTGCTTCACGGACTTTATTCACATTTACTCTTAAGCCTTTTAAATAGTTGACATTGTGCGGTGTTAAACCCAATTGTAACCAGGCCTCCCATTTAATTGACGGGAAAAACGTTTTCAACAAATCTTTGGCTCGCTCAAGGCAGTACAATAAAGCCGTACGAAACGATTGACGGCATGATTTCCATTCTTCACTTAACCATATATTTAAACTGTACGGTACCAGCATACGCATTATTACGCGGACACAGACCGAATTAGCTTTATCTGCCTTTTTCTCGTCGTAATCATTACATAATTCCCATAAATAAAGTAAAATTTTAATACGTTCCTCGCCCATCAGTGAAAATATATGCAAATCACTCTGTTGCATTATATAAACGAATTTAAGCGCCGACATTTTATCACAACCTATTTTCCGAGCAGACTTTAAAAAAATCTCTCTCTCTGTAGTATTTAGAGGTAATATAGCTTCCATTGTAGAATTTTTTAATATTAAATGTTTAATATTGCTAGAAATTTTTCTATTTCTACGTAAACGATTTCACCCAAACTTTAAATCCGAAATGTGTAAACAGCTGCTTTTACGATATTATTCAACCTGCAGCTATGTTCAGCTGCAAAACTATGAAAGGAGGATTAAGAATTGATTTAAATGCGCCCTTTCAGTTATCCGTTCATCGGTTGTTTCTTGTCCACAGCTGTAAACAAAAACATCGAGATTAATCATCCTCGGCAACATAAGCTCAACAAGTAAGAAAATTATTATCGATTTCGATCTTCACAACCTTTATCGTAAAAAATTCCAAAAAAACATAATTTATATACGTGGAAAACAAAGAATTTCGTGTTCTCATGTAACTTTTTTTTTTTACACCACTTGTGGTACAGGTTGTATTAAGTTAGTGCGGACGTATATAACACGCAGAAGGTCTTAAGATAGACTCATCTTTTATTAAAACGATCGATCAAGAATCGTAATCTGAATGGGTCTGAGCATTCAAGTCCCTCTCACCGTCTGTCCGTCTGATGTCTGTCCAACTTCATACAGAAATGAACTCTACAAAATTTTAACCTTTACGTCTATTTTTGGATCCTGCCCTATGTAAGTATTAAACTTGTACTACATTAGATTGCCTTTTGGGCCGGTTCACCATAAATATGCCCTTATATAAGAACGAGATGTAATTTTAGTGTTCTATAGTAAATATAAGATTTGTGGTATAGGGTATTGAACCTTGTCTGACTATAATGTTCTTACTTGGTTCTTGTTTACAGCCGTAAAAAAAAATGGAGGTTAATTATCTTCGGTCCATACTTATCAATATAACCTCAACCAGTAAGAAAATTAATTTCAAATAACATTATAGTCGTAGTTTCATGCAAAGCCCTCATGTTCGAAGGTTGCATTTTCTCTTCATATGCTTTGCATTTCCTGATAGCGCCTATAAAAAAATAGCCCTATGTGATCCAAAGTCTCTACCACTAATTTTTTTTGCTGAAACGCTACTATGAGTTAAGTTTCGTCATAAAATATTACAAATTAAGTCTTTTCAGAAGGGAGACATCTTATGTAAAGTGGGAACAAGAAATAGACCCATGTGATTCAAAGTAGGCCCACTTAATTTTTTTATTTAATTGCTATCATAAACAAATTTTCATCACAAAAAAATTAACAATTAAGCTTTTTTGCGATGGTATCCACAAAATAGATCTGGGTGGTTCAAATTCGGCATGGTACATTTCTTTGTCAATTTACATCCAAGAGTCAACTTTCATCATGAAATATTGGAATTTATATTTTTTCACCATGTAAAGCTTCAATGGAACGATTATATGAGAAGGGGGTTCAAAAAATTGCCCGAGCCGGTCCAAAGCTTTCATACCGATTTTGAATGCTGAAATATTAATACTTAGTCACTATTACCTTATATCGCCAGCTGTGAAGAAAGTGGACCGATCCGAACCATTTTCAATACAGCTTGAACACAAATTTGCATGGACAAACATCAGACAGATAGACGGACAATTCAGAACATGATTCTGAAGCGATTGATATAATAAAATCTTTATCTCACGCCATTCTCAGTGTTACATACGTCCGCACTAACTTGATATATCCTGTACTACAAGTGGTGTAGGGTAGAAAAAAATTTCGATATTATACATCTTTTTCGTTTATGTTATATCTAAGCTTACCTTATGTTATTCTATGTGAGATCCAGCACGGCAGAAATTAACAATGTTAAACGGGTCTCATTCTCTTATCGAGTTATATGTGACTTTCTTAGCACGTTATGTTATACGAATCTATTTTGTATGGTGACATGTTATAGAGGGATCTACTGTATTGCAAAACATTTTTTTTTTAATTTAAACGGTATTAATACTTCTCATTATAGTAATAGCGATATATATATTTGTGGTTGTATTAGTCTTTCTCTGTAATGTGTAAAGCGTTCATTCATTTTTTTATACCTTAGTGCTAACCGCAAAAGAGTTAAAAAACCTTACACGAGGGCAGAGGAAGAAATATTTTTTAAAAAAATTTCTTTATGTTGTAATTGAACACAAGGTTGTACACGATTGTATGTATACATATGTGCGTTTGTGTATGTCCGTTTATTTGTTTATTTATTTGCTTGCTTATACCTGCGTTTAACCTAACTAATGAAAATTATAGAGAGAAAGTTTTCATGCATATAGTGTTGAGCACAAGCGAACGTACTTAACTTGACAGCAATTGCTTTATTGCTAATAAGTATGGTTATGAATGGAAATGTGTACACAAAAGTTTTTTGCAGAGTTCAATTAACACAATAAGGTGTCATGTCTTTTTGTCGTGTGCTTATCTCTTTTATTTTTTTTCCCCTTTTGCGGGGAAGTGTCGGTTTCTTAACTGCTTACAAATCATTAAAATGCACAATAGACGAATACACGTAAGAGTTCGGCACTATTTAGCGTTAATAGATAAATGACAGAAGATAATGACAGAAGAGATTTAGTTAATATAGTCAAGTTTTTTGCTTATGCTACACGTATAGTGGTATAGTAAATTAGATTTACTAATATAGCAGTGAAATATATGTATACATTTACTCTCTTGACGTGGCCATGTCTTTCTGTCCGTCCGTCAGTATGTCTCATGGAATCACGCTTACTATGTCTTTTTTTCCGTCCATCATTCCGTCTAATGACATCACGGACACATTATTGATATTTAATTTCGGCTTTCTATGTGTCCGTCCGTCTACAGATATCATGCTTATATGGCTATGTCGTTCTCTCCGTCCATTAGTCCGTCTATTGGTATCATGGTCACTTAGTCATGCCTTTCTGTGTCTATACAACCGCCTTTCTGTTGATGTCAGGCTTGCTTGGCTATGTCTTCCTATCAGCCGAAATTTGGTACATTGACGTGTTTATATCCAAAGACGAACGCTATTGAAAATGCTTAGAATCGGTTTATCTTTTCGAGCACTCCCCATATAACGTCCTGTTCTGAAAAGTCCTTATGTGGAAAAAAATTTCAATTTTCAAAATTGTCCGACTATAATGTCCTGACTAATACTTGGTTTTTTAAAGAAATTTTTATTTATTCTTTGCCGTTTCTTGTTAGGTGAAATATATTTGGACATCGGGCCGTTTGTGTGACTTTAAGGGCTGCGATCGACCGGATTTACAACCTTCACATATTAACGGCTGGTTCTGGACGGCCACTTTACAAAAATTGGCACCGACCACTGAGCGTAATCAAGGCGACTGGTCGCCCACAGGCGGTATAGGCCTGCCACAACCCGATAATCGTGAATACAAGCAGAATGGTGCTCCCGAAAATTGTCTAGCTTTACTTAATCAATTCTACAATGATGGAGTCAATTGGCATGATGTCGCCTGTCATCATAAGAAGCCGTTTGTTTGCGAAGAGAACGATGCTCTATTAAAATATGTACGCTATACTAATCCTCAGTTGCGAATTTAAGATATCTACGGCTTAAAAAAACAAAACAGAAGACTAATTTCAGCTATTCAGCTAAGCGAAGAAGTAAATAAATACTTAAAAAAGAAAAAACAAAAAAAAAACACCAAAAAATGGTACTTTCTACAAATTTCTTCTACGTTCATTTATTTTTGTTTTAGTTTCCATTTCTGTAAAAATTTCGAATGAATCTATCGTAAACGCTTGTCTTATAAAAACTATTTGTACGATTTCACTTAGTTTAATTTGATGTTTTTTTATATTACGTTATTTTATTACCTTTGATTAATTTATGTAAAATAAAAAACAAAAAAAAAACGTCTAATTATTTTTTAATTAACTTTGTAAATTAAAATTTAATTTGTTTAAAACTTATCAACGATGTTCAGTTTGCATAGGCATACATATCAAATGGATCGTTTTTGTGTGTGTTAGTAGCACTACCAATAATATACGCAAATCGATTTGTTTCTCAATGTCCATCGGCTTCGCTTTTACCCTGCACCACTTGGGGTGTACACGATATATTAAGTTGGTGCATATACATACAACACGCAGTTGGGCTTAGGATAAATCCACCAGAATCATTTTCTAAATGCCGTGCACCACCCTGTAGTTGTTTATATATATTGTGGGAAGTGAAAGTCGGCTCTCGTTTTCACCTCTCATATCCTTTCTTTCAGAAGGGGGCTGTTAGGTTAGGTTAAAGCCGATAGCCTTAGATGCTAGTGCTTTTAAGAGTTTAGTCTTAGAATTTATTTCTCTGGCGAAATTAATAATAATAATAATAATAATAAATAGGTTAGGTTAATGGTAAATGATCGGAGTAAGTTGATGGGTTGATGGGTTTGGGGAAACTCGTAGGATAAGTTTGCCAAGAGATAGTCTTGCAGGAAATACGAATCAATTGATTTCCACTGTCATCAGAATCGGAGGACCGACAACTTCCGTGTTCTGGTTTTTTTCCGGATTGTGCAGCCAACAAGTCGACTGGGATTCTTTTCTTTCTCTAGGCAGAAACTATATTCTTCTCCAAGGAAGAAACTATTGGAATGCCGCGTAGTGATAGGATTTCGCTGAAGATTTAACACAGGTACACTACCATGAAACTTGTACACCACGGTGCCCGATGGCAACCGGCGCCCTTCAGAGGATTAAAGAATCTCTATAAGCTAGGGACCTAAACCACACTGGAGGAATTAGATATATTTATTGTGTATGGCCCAACAAACCCACTCTGTGGAGTGCTGAGGCATCTAATTATTCGAAGGGCCGTAAGAAGCAGTCAGTTTAACCACTGCGCTCAAACTGGTGATTGGACATAGTAGTTTCCACTGCGGTTTCCACAAGCATGTAAGTACGCAAGCTTCCGCCCAAAGGATCTTGGCAAGCATCAATCTCCAATACAATAATGCAGCCAACTCTACCCGCAGGTACTCGTAACTTTGTGAGTGGGCTCCCTACCCCCGATGTCACCATAATAGGACGCATAGTTCGAAAAATATTTTCTGGTATACATATATATGCATATTTCTATTCATCACAAATATTTACCTTTATTCCACACCTACCTAATTAGACCATTAATAATACTACTGTTTGTAGTATACGTGGAGAAGGGAAAATTTGAATTTAAATTAATGTTTTTTATTGATTGAATATATTTTAGTGATCTGTATTAGAAATTCTATAAAAAAAGGTAGAAACAATCCAGTCTTTAGATATTTAGTTTTAAATTTTGTCAGTCCGTATTTCTAAGCATTGCAAATATTTATTTTTACACCATATCTATTAAACTTAGCTTTTCATAATAACACAGTGTGCGGTCTATATGTAGAATAGAAAATTTCAGCAAAAATTAAAATATTCTACTCGTTACTAAATAAATTCTATAAAAAAATGTCGAGCCTCTTTCTACTAAGCTTTATTTGCCGTTAACTCATATGAACATACTTAAAAGCTGTTACTTTCTATGTTAATGGTAAGGAAAATGGCAACACATGTCGATTTAGAGTTATTAAATTCAGCTCTGGCAACGTCATGTCCAAGTTGTAAATAAATCTTTAAAAGTCGTACAAAATCTTTTGGCTGTGTTATAATTTGTTTTCCTCGCGAAAATATTGAATTTATGTAAGAGATGGATATAGGTGAACTTCTATCATTTAAGGTAAAATATCTGAATTACAAAGTAAAAGTTAATATGGAGATAATTTCCTAAAATTTTTTAAAACCATAAACAGCCTGAAGCTACACCAAAACGACCGCATGAAGATGACATTGAAGATTTAGGAACACCGGAACAACCGAGAAATCGCCAGGAAGAGAATCATAAACGTATGAAACGTATAGCTCAAGCCAAAGAAGCGGCGGAATTTACAAAACAAAGTGAATTTTCATCGACAGAAGCTATAAGCGGTGTTGCTGCTTCACTTTTAGATCCGGAATTAACTGAGGAACAGCGTTTAAATATTTTAAAATATGTTGAAAGTGAAGAGGCTGAGGGGGAAGTATTAGATGAACAAGGCTTAAAGAAATTACTTTTAGTGTTTGAGAAAAAGAATTTAAAAAATCAAGAACTACGAATTAAATATCCAGATAATCCAGGAAAATTTATGGATTCTGAATTAGAGTTACACGATATGATACAAGAATTGAAAGCCGTAGCTGCTGTTCCCGATTTATATCCTACATTAGTTGAATTAAATGGTATACCAAGTATTTTGGAATTATTATCGCATCCCAATACGGATGTAGCAGTGGCCATAGTAGACTTATTGCAAGAAATAACGGATGTGGACATATTAAGTAGTTTTATGATATTAAAAAAAAAGTTATATCTTACATTTATATTAATTTGCAGACGAAAGCTCCGAAGGTGCTATTATTTTAATAGACGCATTGAGAAAGCAACAAATTTGTGCTTTATTGGTTCAAAACATGGAAAGATTGAATGAACAGATAAGAGAAGAAGCCGATGGTGTCCATAATACTTTAGCTATTGTCGAGAACCTTACGGAGATTAATACCGCTATTGCTTATGAAGCCGCTCAGCAGGGTCTTATGACCTGGTTGCTAAAACGTTTAAAGCAGAAACCTCCTTACGATGCCAATAAATTATACTGCAGTGAAATTTTGTCAATTCTCATACAAAACAATAACGACAATCGTTTACTGCTAGGAGAGTTAGACGGAATTGATATATTGCTACAACAATTGGCCATTTATAAGCGCCATGATCCAATTACCACGGAAGAGCAAGAATATATGGAAAATATGTTCAATTGTCTATGCTCTGCTTTAATGGCCAAAGAGAATCGCGAAAGATTTCTTAAAGGAGAAGGATTGCAATTAATGAATTTAATGCTACGCGAGAAGAAAATGTCCCGCAACGGTTCGTTGAAAGTTTTAGATCATTCCATGTCGGGACAAGACGGTCGAGAAAATTGTAATAAGTTTGTTGATATATTGGGTTTACGTACGATTTTCCCATTGTTTATGAAAACTCCAAAACGTAATAAAAAACGTTTACTATCCGCCGATGCGCACGAAGAACATGTATGTTCAGTGATAGCATCAATGTTAAGGAATTGTAAGGGTTCTCAACGGCAAAGGCTGTTATCCAAATTCACGGAAAACGACCACGAAAAAGTTGATCGTCTGTTGGAATTACATTTGAAGTATTTGGATAAACTTGAAATAATCGATCGTGAAATTAACCAACAATCGAGGACTTCTAACGTTGGTGAAGATGACGAAGCAGAGAATAATTACTTAAAACGATTGACTGGCGGTTTATTTAGTTTGCAAATGATTGATTACATTATTCTAGAAGTGAGTGCCACCTCAGAATCCATTAAGCAACGCGTCGTTCAAATACTTAATCTACGTGGTGCCTCTATGAAATCTATACGCAACGTGATGAGAGGTATGTCCTCTGGATAGCTTCTAAAAAATTGCTATTTTGCTTTTAAACGTTTAAATGCTTTCAGAATATGCTGAAAATTTGGGCGATGACGGAGATTCTGATTGGAAAGAACAAGAGCAGGCACATATTTTGTCTTTGGTCGATCGTTTTTAGTCCAACAGCGATTTTGAAAAGCAATAAATTTGATTTGAATGAATTCGGAAGCAATTTGATTTTGACTTACGCTATCATTTTTCTATTTGACTAAACGAACATTCGTAAGATTACGTCCTAATTTCGGATTTCGCAAAAATCGATTCTATCTTTCAACTTCTAAAATATTTCCGAATAACCATTGTGGGCCATAAGGATTTATTGAACTACTTAAACTTACGATCCCGTATTACGTTAACAAATTAGATAACTTGCTAGTGAATGCACAATGGTATCTGGGTCCTACATACTCTCTTATATTTCATCGGATATCTACATTTTTCATGTTAATAACAGATATTCAATTAACCAAGGGGACCTTTTTTTGGACAGATGCGATAAGTGAACAACTACTAGTAGTAGTACGCGCAAGAGAACAAGAGATTATCCGTTTCTGTCCGTAATATGTGCAACATTTGCAGCTTATCACCGGCCGAAATTCCGATTGCTTAATAAAATTTTTTCGCTGTTTTTGCCATTTCCACTTTGGTGTTTGAATAAACATTTAAGATAACCCACTCACCGTTGGTATTGCTTTCATCTAAACTATTGTTGTCACTGAAAGACGTACATCAAATTTAGTGGCGACTTATTGAAAAAATGTTTTAATGTTACCTTCGGACTTTAAGACGCATCCAAAATTTGTATCCATTTCTCTAAGTAAAAAGATGCGTCTTATAGTCCGGAAAATAGTGTACATTCTATTCCTGATGTTTATCTTGGATGAAACAAGCAAATAGTTGCTGATTCAAGCTTCAAATATTCAAAGCGCGCCTGATCCTTTACTCGTTGATAAAGTCAAAAAATTAAAAAAAAATCTCTGCATTTGATTCATTGAAATTGCAGCAAAACGTTTCCGTTTTGAACTATTCACATACCATAAACTTACAATTTTCTCTTTGAATTCTTTAAATTTTTTCGTTTTTGTTTATCGTTGAACCTGAAGAAGCCCATCTTTGATAAGCTCAAGTGTCTAATTTCGCTCCATTACACTAGTTCTTCTTTGTTTGCGTCCCTAATCCCTCTTGGCCTAGCTATATATATACCTCCCTTTGAGTTGTAAACAATTTCATATGTTTTCTTTTGAATTCGCTATACCTCCCTTTGATTTCATATGTTTTCTTTTGAATTCGCTATACATCCCTTTCATTTGTAAACAAACAATTTCTTGGCTCCCTCTTTACGGGGTGACACAGTAAAGATTAGTTATGTTTTTTAGCAAAGAAATTCAATTTCTCAAAAAAAAAAAACAGAAAGAAAAAGAGAAATGAAGATAATTTATTTTAAATTTAGAAGATATTTACCCAGGGTATTAATTTCGCGAAAGCTATGTTTCTTTTTCGAGTTTCGTGTTGTTCGCTTTAAGTACCCACAATGGCTGCAATATATATAACTTTCAAGTCAGGCGTAAGCTAAATAGCTCACATTAGTATTGCTTGTTAATGCACACGGAATAAAATACGATGACAATTATCCTTTGCGAAGATTGCGAGAATTATAACTAGATTGGCTTTGGCCTGAATGCTTTTGTCACAAAGTCCACGATTGTTAAAAACTTTTGCAATGAAATGTTCTGTTCGTCATTATTGGTGATAAGTCGCATCACGTTGCAGCTGGCAGTTAAGAGTTCATTTCCTTTCCCGCTTTGCCCATTAAACAGGGATAGCCCACCACGCTTTCAGGAGGGCGGGGAATGTGTAACCGATCATTTAAAAAAAAAAATTAGATGTCATCTATCGCTTCCTGTTTCGGCTTTTTCGCTGCGCGTCCTAGGCAGCTTCAGCTCTGTTCGACGCGTTTCTTTTTTTTTTTTGCTTTTCATATGCGCAGCAGCTTTTAAATATACTCTTTCACATCTTTCAAATTAAAAAAAATAAAAGTATTTATTTTCAAGAAACGTTATCCCGGAAGTTTGTTACAGAGTAACGCTTATAAGAAAATGGCATTGGTATATAAACATAAAAATAATACTTTTTGTCTTTTTCAACAAGCAACGCACGCTAGAAAGTATATATGTCACACATCTCCGGCATAATATTGCAATTGAAACACCCCTTTTTTATGAAAATAAGAAATTCTGTACAATATTGTAGTACAATCTAAGGACGAGCATTTAAACGGTTGTTTGTTTTATGCAATATCTTCTCTTTACTTCCTTATGTCTAAGCAATTTTTTGCTTTCTTTACTCCTCCAGTAAAACCAATTATCCCCCATTTTCTCTTAAGTGCATCTTTTAAACGTTTAGTTTTCACCGACCAATTTCAAAAATTTATGCGTTTTCACATTCTTCTTCTTGTTCTTCTTCTCTACAGTAAACAACAGCCGAAAATTCGCTGAGATGAGTAAAAAAAATCATATGATTTTCAAATTCACTTTGTTTTTGTAACTGTTTACGTTATCTTTATTTTCTTTATGCTAGTTGATTTATATTATGTTGATTGTTTATATATATCTACATTTGTCTGCTTTTTCCTAAAAAATGTTATGATAAGGGAGGCTACTCTGAATTATGATTAAAATATATTCTACAAACAGCTAACTTGCATGAATTATGATCAACACATATTCTACATATTCTGTTTTACAACCGGCTAATTTAGAAATATTTCTACAAATATTTAACTAATCGAAGCAAAGGGAACTGTCCTTGTTCCTAAAAACATCAAGCCGATTAAAAGTTAGTGATTGTTACCAATTTTCACTCTTTATACGTAGGCTTTAATTTGTTCCCCAATGAAAATTTATTGTGTGTTCACTTTTAAAATACGAAGAGAGAAACTTTACACTATGGCAACATCAATTTTCCTCCTTGTCTTTTTTGTGAAAATTCGTAATTGTAATTGGGATTTTATCAAATTTTATTTATTTTTTAGAATTAATTTTCTGTGTGTGGTTAATTGTTATATAGACTTACGTGTACACATAAAAGAAAAATTAAGATACTAGACAAAAATTCAGTAATAGCTTATTTTTTTTTATTTTTATTTAACCATCAATGTGGGTCTTCTATCGATAAATAAGCGAAGTAAAGAAAGGAAAAGTCGGTTGATTATAGTACAATTAATTAGTATCGAAAAGAGGAACCAATAAACATAATAAAAATTTTTTATAAAATAAAAAAAATAAACGGGTAAAAAAACTTTTGCAAAAAAAAAAGAAAATTAATTCCACTAATAAGAACAAGAGCGAAAGGAATTGCCTTTATTAGAGGTCTTTGTCAAACCTATTGCAGAAAAAACGTGGTTTAGTAATACCTGTCTCTTTTTAGCAAATATGGAGTGTAGGTGTTTTTTTATTTTGCATGTAAGTTTGTATGCCTGCACATATATTTGATATAGAGAGAGATATTGAGTATGCATGCATGAGTAGTGCGCATTATTGTGCATCTGTGTGTGTGTGTGTGTGTGTGCGTATGTGTGTGTGGGCTTTTGTCAATACATGCATGTATTTATCTTTCGTTGCTTAGTCAAATTTTATTCGTGCTGTTTAGAAGACGTGAATTATTCGTAAAACGCTGAAAACACGTAACGCTGCTGAGAAGTGGAGTAGAAAAAAAAAATTAGAAAGTAATAGTAGAAGGCAAAGACTGATAAAAGCTACAATATAATAATAATCAAAAAGAGGGAAATTTAAAGTAAAGCGAAAAAATTCACTTTGTTTAAAGTTTTAAAAAAGTCGAAAAGAATTTTGCAAATAAAGAGATATCTTCCTTTCCTAAGCTGCGGTGAAAAAGAAAATTGTGTGCAAAGGAGTGCGTGTGCGAGTTTTTAAAACAAAAAAAAAACAAAAAAATACAAAAACCCGAAAAAAGCAAAGCTAAAAGTCTAGACACCATTCTCAACTATAGAAACGAGCCAGCAACTGCAACAACAGCACCAACAACCGTAAACCTAAAATGTCGACACCCGCTCGCAGACGTCTTATGAGAGATTTCAAAAGGTATGTACAAAATCATTAACTAATTTGAATATTTGAGTATTAGACGAAGAGGAAGATTATGTTCAAAAAAAATATAACTAAATGCTAACAAGAAAACAAAATGCAAGAAAATAATTACGTATGAATATATGTACATTGCATATACTGTGAAACTCTTTCCCGAACGTGTGTGTGTGCTTGATTAGTAAGCTTTTACACTCTCTCTTTGCTAATTTTTTATAAAATTGTTTTATATTCTACATTGGCATTTGATTGATGCTTGGCCCTCGATGTGTTTCTTAAGATCGGGAGATGCATTGAGGTTATTGTTTTTTTGAGTAAGATGAAAAAAAAAATCTCGAATTTCTAATTTTCAGTTTCAGTTATCAGACTTTGTGCAAAAAAAAATACGACAATAAAAACAATGACATTTTTAATTTGATAATATCGCTCCTTCGTTTCATTGTATTGCCATGGTTTTTTATTCTGATTCATGCGATAAAATAAACAACTGCTAAAAATTGTTTGTTTCCACTTTTTTTTGTTTTCTTTTAAATTTTTATCAAAATGCTTTTTTTTCTGTATTGATAAATATTTGTCATGTATGCTTATTTACTACTTTTGGAAAATGTCAAGGATGTTTGTGTCATTCGTTTTCTTTATCGTTCGTTGCTTATTTCTCCCTTTTTTTCTCCCCATTAACTTCAATATCAAACGTTTAAAAGGTCATTGATTGGCTTTTTATTATTTATTTAAAAAAAAGGAAACAAGTTTTGTATTTTTCTTTTTTTTTCTAGGTTTTAAGATTATTAATGTGCATTTTCTTTTTATTAATAGCATATTAGTTCATGGTTGTGGCTTTCTCTTCCCTTTTTTGCTTTGCTCTGTGTCTTGTTTGTGCTTGCCATGTCTCACCTGCTTTTGTCTTATGCTTATTTTCATAATGTCAATGAAGCGATTTTCCCGCCGCTAAATTTAAAAAGAAAAAAAAACTAAAGAAAATAGACAAATAGATATAGGCAACTACACTTGCCGATTATTAGCGCGATATACTAAAACTTGTTCATTTGTTTTTTTACGGCTTTGGTTTTGGTCCTTTTTTTTATAATCTTTTTTACCAATTGCAAAGAAGAGGGAGGAAAGGGATGGTATGCCTTATCGTTTGCATTAGCGAATGATAAATTTTTTTTTTGTCAAACAGCTGAATACAACAGTGAAAGCTAATTTGAAACTTGAAACAGTTGAAAATTCGTATTGGATTTAACGATGTTCGTGTCCATTTCATTGCAAGAGTATTTTACTTATCCGAAGTAACTTTTTTCAAACCTTTAAAAGTTAAAATAATAATTTTTTCAATTAATAGCGAATATTGATGTAAAATGAACTACACAACTATTAATCATGGCCATCTATGGTGCGTATTTCCGTGCGTTACGTACATTTGATATCTCGAATGTATAAAATGAGATTAATTAGTTAATTAATATAAACACTCAATTGGTATAGTAATCGCATTTTATATAAATTCAAGAGAATTAACTATTAAAACAAAAATAATAAATGCAAGTAAATTGGCATAAAGATTTCTGATGTGTTTCGTTCGTTCGAACAGGTGTAGGCAGACTGTGCTATTATTGTATGCGCTTGACTATTGAATTGATGCGTAGTTTGAATGGTTTTCATGATTATTTTATAAATCATCATCATAGAGAAAAACAGATGTTTGCTTGGATTCGATTTGTTTATTTTATCGACTATGAAAGCAGTTAACTCAAAATATGGTCAATGTGAAACTATTTTATAGCCTGACTGTCTGTTGAACGCAAAGCTTAATATGAAATAATAGAAATGGATTTTACTTTTATTTTTATTACTTTTCATTTTTTTTTTTTTGCTCGACATCGGGATTAGAAGAAAAAGTAAATATTTATTCAAGGTTTAAGAAATCTGAAAGCTATTTCTCTACGTCATAATTATACAGTAAGTTATTACGTATTAGCAGCCTGTTTTTATTAATAGGAGACTGCCTCTGATAAATGTTTGTATTCGATGTTAGTGGTAGGTTGAAGGTATTAAAAACTTGTTAAAAATTTCGGCTTATTCTTTTTAATGCTGATTTTTCTCAATCGTCCCGGAGTAAGCTGCACACCGTCCACTTCTTTTTTTTTTAATTCCAATCTTTGTTAGCGGATTTTTCTTGTGTTAACGCTAGGTTTACGGCACCCGTCAGTTGGATTACGATATCAAGCTTAAAAATTCTACATACGGAAGTAGATATCTTGAGATGTATGCTATATATACATTAATGAATCCTTTTTCTGAGACAAGTTCACTATGCCCATTTTTAGTGAAACCCCATTATTGGGTGCTTGCAAAAACTTTGCTCAGCGACTTGTATACGTACAAATAATAAAGAAGTAGGAAATACCAGAAGGCATAACGGTTGAATTCGATGGCTTTGATCTTCCTCTGCATAAAATAACAGTTTTCCATATAATATTATTGATTTATACAGTCTATTCCAACACTAGTCATGGAGCCCTCAAAATTTTTCTTCCAAATTCATTATTTTTATTGTTTATTTGAAGAAATCTGCCGCCAAAGTCCACCAAATACGTTGAGTCGCTTATGAGGATATTGCTCCATCATATCCCAATTGTCGATTTCGGATTCAACTGCGACACGAATTGACTGAAGATGTCATTTTTTGGACAATTGTTGCAAGAGTTATCCGTGATACATTGTGGCAGCTCGAATTGGAAGTTCTGCGTCACCCAGCACACTCACCAAACACGGTGCCTCCTGATTGCACTTGTTCAGACTGATGGAGTATGGCTTGACTGGCACACGGGTTGAAGTAGTGTGAAAATGGGTCGGTCGTTGGATCACTGCCAGACTAATAATAAGTTCTTTCGACATGATATCGCCATTTTGCCAATAATATGTGGAAATGCTATAGAAAGTAATGAAAGCTTTTTGATTAAGATATTTTCCACGATAAATGCCTTTTTCAAGTGAAAAAGTGATCAAAATTTTTGCAAACACATAATACATACAGAAGCCTCATAAATCTAGTGTTAAATTAAATACCGTATACACATAAATTTTTAGTGTGAAGTAACTAAATTTCGAATGTAAAATATTTAGCGATATAGGAAAGGAAAAGTTTTAATCAAGTAGATTTGTTTCGATCTATTACTGTATCGCCTTTTCCTGTATTTTTACGGAAGGATCCTTCTACTGAAAACAAAAAAGTCCGCTTTGTTATTGAAGGTTCCCGTTACCATGTAGAGCTACTAAGAAATCTTAAACGTCAGTTCGGGATTAAACTACGAGTTCTTCGAAATAACCCTCACCTGGTACTTGCGTTGACTTTTAATGGATCCTTAAAGTAAGGGGGGGCCCAGTTTTGTGTTGTGGTAAAGCATTTTTTAAACGCTAGTCCGGACTTCTGATCGATTGCCGACTGTCTCTTCATCGTTTGTATAGAGGATTCGCCCGATTCCATCCTGCTATTAGTACGACTCAAATGTGTAGAATTACCCTTACCGAAGCAAGTTCACTGGATATAATTCATCGGAGGTTTTAACATATGGTTTGTTGAGATATTTTGCCGTTACAATATGTTGTATTGCCAATAATAACTGACAAACCTATCATTTTTTTTTATAGGATATGAGTCATGTTTGCCCATTTGTTTTCAAAATGATTCATTTTTGTGATATTTAAGCATGTAATCGAAAACTGATTTTTAATCATTAATAGCTACTTGGTTTCAGTATATACGACAACAATATTCAGGAAACTTTCCAGATTTCTATAAAAGATTTCTAATAGTGGATTCATCAATTTTGAGGTTAAACATGATTTCTATTGATATTGGAATCCAATCAGTAAATATAAGGCCCTATTGTGATCCATATTAGTAAAGTTTCAAGTTGTTAAAGATCTTCTCTCAGATTTAAAGATCGCGGAGAATAGATACCTCTTAAATGGACTTTGAACCTCAAGGACTAGTCAAATATATGTGAATGTATCTTATGAACTTTCTGGAGGTTGGCTCTCGATGCTGCTTCTAATATCCATGTTCGTTTGATCCGTAAAAAGCGATTTAGAAGTGACACCATGGCAATAATAGGGAAAAAGAGATAAAGAGTATCTATAATTCGTCTCAAGACGTATAGTTTTTTTTTCTTTGTATTTATTTTTTATTTATAAAATTTCTTTCTCTCTCTGTAAACAATGACTGGCTATTAGCCAAAATTTTATATGTAGTTATTCAACTGTTGCGCTGTATATTCTTTCATTCACTTTCAGAAATAGATTTGACAACTTTAAAGGTATAAACGCAATAAAATATACAAAATAAATGCGATGAATGTTCAATGTAAACACTGCTTCCATTATCTTTTTTTGTTATTATGCCACGAGTAACGTGGCACCGAACAATGGTTTATCCACTTCCTGTGTGTCTTTAAAATAATCAAATACATTTTAAGTTCGGAATCGATCGGATCAAAGGCCGTTAAGCTCAGTTTTTAGACTACAACCCGCATGCGTGAGCGAGGACTTGAGAATTTTGCTTGGAGGCACTCAACCACATATAATGAAAGGCTTAGATGCACATGGGAGACGAATGTCTCGATGTGGGCTGTGTTGTGCTTATCTGCACGTACCTCCACAGGAAATGTTCTACAGAGATGAACTGTTCAGTAACTAAATAGTTCAACAGTGATACACGGTCAGCGTGCCTATCCATTTGTCCTGGAGTTATCTGGACACCGCAAAATACACTATCGCGACTCATTATTGTGTAATTATGCTTGTCGTCCTTTGAAACCACCTATCTGCAGTAGTTCTTCTCAACTGATCTGATGTCTCCATTTTCAAGACGTACGCAAACACTATTCTCTTACTTCATCTCTTTCTTTTTATAACCCTTCCTGGCGACCATCGCACCCGCATTTAGTCAAAAAAAAAAATCGCATTTTATGTTCAGTTCTGGGAGTTGTGTTCTAGGGGAGCGAATTCTCAAATTCAAATTGTTTAGTACGGGGGGTTCCTACCAACGAGTTTTGTCACATGAAAATTAGGCGCCTTTTTTGCGTCAAAATCATTGAATTTAATCGTTGCGTATATTGAGACTTCCCATTAGTTTACCATTTTCGCCAATAGATGGCGCTGATCAAAATGCATGCAAACCCCTGCTACTTGTGGACTCAACATAAAAGTGATGTCCACGAATATTTGAGTCACATATATGTACATTATATATCTAATAATACATCTAATAATATGTATTATGTATATAATAACATATATGCAATTAAAAATAATAAATAATAATAATAAATAATAACAATAATAACGAAAACAAGTAATAAAGTCATCTCCGGTGGGGACCGAATCTCGCGAGTTCTTTGTATTCTACTCTCCATGTTCTTTCATTTGATACCCATATTGCTGGTATTATTAAGTGTTAAATAAACCATCAGGTCGCGCTGTCTAAAATACTCATTTTAGAATTAACCTACTGTTAAGCAGATAATATATTTTCATTTGCGGAATGTATAAAATACTTTTAAACATCCTGTCTTGTTTATCTTATGACAAATGAACTTAAAACCTTAAAAAAAGTGCAAAAAAAAAAATTTAATCCATTGTAACTTTGTGTGGACATGGCCGATTTTTTCCATTTTGCACATAGATGGTAGGATGTGCTTCGTTAAGTGAATATGATTACTTTCAGCCTTCTAACTTTTATAATTTGTAAGCAAAAACCCATAAATTTTGGTTAAGAAAAACGAAGTTGCGTTCGGTTTATGCTCCACCGTGGGTTTCAACTCTGGACAAATTGGGTCCCATTTTTAATACCAACGTGCGTATAAAAACTTCCAAAGTTTTTGCCAAATTTCAAGTCGATATCTTCACTTTTGCGATCAAAAGAGCATCAATAACTGACTCCACAAAGACGGCGGGACATGGCTTAATCAGTTCAGAATTTCACGCTAATCAGGAATATATATGCTTTATAGGACCTTTGAAGCTTCCTTTTCCCTACATTATGAAAAAAAAAAGAAGCGAAATGAGTGTATTCCCATCCCTTTAGTGGTGGGTATAAAAATTCCCGAGAAGGTTAGTCTAAAATGCAAATGCATCCAAAATGTACAGGACTGGCTAGGTAAAGATACCTGATTTCTCTCAAGTTATGGCTTTATTTTATTTTAGAGAGAGCATAATATATATAGGACCTTGTGAAGACTCTCTTGCAATTCCCTATAAGTTTTGTTTATAATTTTCATCAAGATTTAAGAATTATTTGTTTATCTGAAACGAAAAAAAAAAAAATAATAAAAAGCATTGTATCCAAGTTGAGATTGCATTACAACACCACTTCTTTGAAAATATATTAGACAACAATAAAGAAAAAAACTGGTTATGGGAGCTGGTCTCTTTTGTCGTATTCTTCAGAGAAAACTTGCAAACAAAAACGACCTAGAAGGCATGAATTCGAAGAGAATTCTTACTTATTGTTTATTTATTGAATTAAAACTTGTATTTACAGTTAAAATCAAGTAGATTCCAAGTAGTATTTTTAAACTTTTTTGTTTTTAGATTAAAAGCGATTAATTTTCATTTCTTTCGATCTTTATGCGTTCTTACTCTGCAAAATATATATTAAACATTAAACAAAGAACAAAATAATTTATAAAATGAAATGAAGAAATATTAATAATAATAAATTCAATTTTTTTTTTCATTTGCTCTAGACTTCAAGAGGATCCACCAACCGGTGTTTCGGGAGCGCCTACAGATAATAATATTATGATATGGAATGCTGTGATTTTTGGTCCACATGACACGCCATTCGAGGATGGTACATTTAAGCTAACAATAGAATTTACGGAAGAATATCCCAATAAGCCGCCAACAGTGAGGTTTGTCTCGAAAGTATTTCATCCAAATGTTTATGCCGATGGAGGCATTTGCTTGGATATATTACAAAATAGATGGAGTCCCACATATGATGTCTCAGCAATATTGACGTCTATACAGGTATTAATGAATGATTTTAATAATTCGAAAAAAAAAAGTTATATTCTCTCTTCGGCTTGAGCTGAATGTATAATTTTTACACCCATTTCTACGCTATGCATAAGCCAATGCAATTTATGTAAAAAATGTCACGTGTAATAAGAGAATGAATAAGTTGTCAATGTTTTCCAAAAAAGAGAGTGTAACTTATACTATAGGGTGAATAAGCCCTCAACATTTTCTGAAAGCGAGCCTAACTTAGACTATAGGGTAAATAAGTTATCAATGTTTTCTAAAAGAGAGTCTATTTCATACTATAGGGTGAATAAGTTCTTAATGTTTCCCAAAAAAGAGAGCGTAACTAGTATTATAGGACGCTAAATAAAAATGCTCGACATCCCTATTTGCAAGTAACTAACTTTAAACAATATCGCGTAAGTTATCCTTCTACACCATATACAACACAGTTTTGCGGAGCTTTCAATAGATCGCATCCCATCTTGAAAAATACATTACGTTTTTCTGATGAAACAGCACCGAAAGTGAATACAATCAGAATCCAGATTATAAACATCGACAATAGAGCTTAATGTCCTTCTATTTGAGGGGATCAGGTATAGCTGTACTATGCATTATGAGTTACTTTAATATATTAACCCATACTTTAAAATCAGTGAGAGCGTGCAAATATACATTTTTTTTCTCTAATGCTAAGAATATCGGACAGCTTTGGACAGACTTTCTTCGCCTAGGAGCATCTGATCCTTTCGTTGTATGAGCTTCCAAGCTCATACATGTCAGATATACTCTGATTTCAGGTTCAAGGAAGCCTTCTATGCCACCAAAAAAATGGATTACTTTTTGTTTGCATAACCTCAAAAGATCATGGAAAGGTAGAACAAATAATGATTAAGTAAAATATGTATTTTTTTTGTAATAAGACTGCAATTTTTTACTAATAGGTGAGTCAAAATTTATTCGCTAATTATAGAGACTGCTTATTGACTTTATTTGTTTAAAGTTATTCGCTAAGTCTGGGCGATTGCTTATGTATTATATAGATTGTAGGTATACAAAGGAATTTCTGTTCTGAAGGAAAAATTTAATATCCGGCTTAAAACTAAAGCGCTCTTGTAAAACGGAAAAAGGGTTATAGTCTTCGTCCTTTCGCTGGTATGTGAATGCGATCGCATCGGTGCAAAATCAATTCCTGCTTTTTGCGTTAAGTAATTTGCCGTAGAACCTTTTTTAACCCTCCCACCATATGAAGATAGATTACTAGTCATATCATTAACCACTCTGGAAAAATATCGATTTATGTTAGAGATCTCATTCTTGTTAACATTGATTAAAGGGTCTATTGACTCGAAAGTTCTTTCGACTGAAATCTACATAAGTTCTCCCGTTCGATTCTCTAGGAGCTATCACTTGTTAAAGCCTAGTCAATGTATAAGCAATTAGGAATTATTTACACCACTTGGGTTTCTTAGGAACAATTTAAACAAGGTTCACGAACCGATATTTATAATAATATCATCTCTTCTAAGGGCTCGTTCATTGGCAATGTCATACCCTGTTGGTAATTGCCTATTGGGGAGCATTGTATGAATGAAGTCACAAAATTTGGTGCAAAAAGCCAAGATGGTATTTTATGGAAGCGAATGTTTCTAGATATCGGTTTAATCCTTAGGTGCTTGCAACAATTTTGATCACTTTTTCATTTCGAAAAGGCATTTATTGGGGAAAATTAGTACAATATATATTAATCCAAATAGTTTCCATCATTTTCTACAATATTTCACAATATTTCTGACAAAATGGTAATCCACCCACCGACCCATTTTCGCACTTCTTCAGTTTTACACCCCCGCGTGACAGCTAAGTCAAGCCATGCTGCACCGATCTGAACGAGCGGTAATCAGGGGACGCATCGTCTAGTGAGGAGGCGGAGGTTTCCTTACGAACTGCAAGAGTATATCCTGGATAAGTCCTACAACAACTCGCCAAAAAATGGCAAGTTCAGCCAATTCGTGTCGACGTTGAACCTAAAATCGACAATTAGGCTATGATGGAGCAGCATCAGGATAAGCCTCTGAACATGTCTGGTGGGCTTCGGCAGTAGGTTTCTTCAAAAAAACAAAAGTAATGAATTTGGAAGGAGAAGAATTCCGAGTGCTCCATGACTAGTGCTGGGGTAGGCTGACTAAATCCATAATATTACATGGAAAACTGTCATTTTATGTAAAGGAAATCCAAAACCATCGAATACAACCGTTATGTGCACAGATATTCCCCTTTCCTTTATCATTTTTATTAGAAGGTTTTTAGTAGAAGATGCTGATCAAAATTTTTGCAAATGCCTAATAAGAAGATGACAAAATGAAACAAGAGTAGCTACTGAAAACCCATGAAAGTTTCAGACTAAAATTCCGATAAGTTTTTAGGGGAATGTTCGATTACTTTGCGACAGCAGCCAATTATGGATGGCAATCTTTTGGGTTGTCTTAGCAACAATAGCCTTTTTCACTATTGTATGGATTAATGGTTTGGGTTTGGATTATTACTTTGGATTAAATTTTGCGGCGTTAGTATGTTGCATTATTGTTATTTGTTTAATTGTTAATTAAGAGCCTAATATAGTTGAATTGGAAAATGGATAATGAATAACAAATATTGTAACTAAGAATCAATTTTCTGTTGTTCGAACTCACTTAAGCTAAGTGGTTTGTTCTTTGTTATAAAAAGTTATAAGCTCGTGTTCCTAATATCGATGGACGGACAAATAGATTTTTCACACATATACACTCTCTTTTAAGTGTTATAAAATTTTTCACATATCTATTGATAGGCATAAAAAAAAAAACAAAAAGAAGAAAATTTATAAAACAATATTTGAGAAATTGTTTTTCTTTTTCATTTCGTTTGTTTTAGTCATTATTGAGTGATCCAAATCCAAATTCGCCAGCTAATTCTACAGCTGCCCAGTTGTACAAAGAGAATCGTCGGGAATATGAGAAACGAGTGAAAGCTTGTGTTGAGCAGAGTTTTATCGATTAGCCATTCGCCGCTGCCATTGTTCTCGTCGTTATCGTCGTTTGTATTACATTCAAATTTAACGGTAATGTGGAAAAGACGGTCTCAGAAAAAGTGTCAGCAGCATTAACACTAGCAGCTACCTACCCTTATCATTTGCTGTGAGCAGATCCTTTTGACGCCTTTTCAAATCTATAAAATCCCTATTTTCCTCCCACCTTATAATTATTGTCAAAAAGCCAAAACTCCACACGCAACCAATCCTATAACAACTGTCTTTCTCATATATCTATCTTATTTTTTTTTTTCGTAAACAGCAACAATAATAAAATATTAATGATATTTAAAGAACAGCAACAAAAAATATAAACAAATCTCTTGATTGTTCTTATAATAAATGTGAAATGAAAGAAAAGAAAGTTTAAAAAAAAACAAACAACTTACACACATACAGAGACACGTAAAAAAAAAAAACAAAAAAAGAATCAAAGCAAAAACCGAAGAAGATTTACATTTGCATATATAAAAGCAACAATCACAACAACCATAGAAGATAATTAACATATATATATATATATATATATATATGTATATATATATATATTAATATATATTAATATATCTACATATATATATATATATATAAAGAACTAAAATTACCATACATTACAACATTACATATATATACTTACGAGCAAAAAAAAAATTAATGTTTAAATAAAATGAAAACAAAAAAAAAAAAAAAAAATTAAAATATATATTAAAGATGAATTTTCCTCCTCTTTTTATCTTTATTAAAGTATTTTTTTCTTCTTTCTTTAATTTTGTTAAGTTTAAAATTGTTGTGTTCCGTTTAACTTTTTCAAGCTTTCCTTTATCTTTTTTTTTTTTTTTATAAATTGTTTATTTATTTTAAAATATTTAAATGCAGATTAGATTTATATTTGATTTTAATTTCTAAATAAATTTACAAACATACCATGCATATGTGTATATATATATGTATATATATATGCATATATACTGATATATAAATATATATATATATAGATATAGATATACATTATTGCATAGACAAAACTTTATAAATATCTACATATTTACAGAAAATGTGGTTGTCGTCCACAATAAATCATAAGAAAAACACAATAACACCCCCTATCCCTTGCATATATATAACATTAAGAAAGAATATTACATTAAAAAGGAAATAACTGAAAAATTTGATCTTCAAAATTTCAATTTTAATGGTGATTAAAATATTACTTAAACAAAAATACAAACAAAAAAAAAAGCAATTTTTTTTACTTCTTTTTAAAAATTTACTGTTAGAGGGAATCCTCCACCCCTATTATGCTGAATATGTGTTAAACAGAATCTATGTATTAAATTCTCATCAGGAGGTTGCTGTCGGTTTTTTTTTTCTTGGTGTTGATAAAGGTTTTTACTCCAGTGCCAGTCGGACTAAAACGTTATTGTAAAAATAATTGGTAAACAAATAAACAATGAGGAACGCATGTAGGAAGTAGATCGTAAATGTGAACAATTTTTTTTATATAAAAAATTCATTTCGAAAACTAGTCAATCATTTATAATATTTGAAAATATAATAATTTGAATTTTTTGTTGTTAATAGCCACTGAATAATTTCACTAAATTAATATGTACGTAATTAATTAATTACTTCGTTTTGCATTTTTATTAAGCTATTCTTTTTCTGTGAATGTGAATAATAATTTTAAAAAAAGTAAATTAACTAATTAATTAAGTAATTAAAAGTAGAGAATTAGAAGCATACATAGGTACGCTACGATCAATATGTAACAAAAATTTCTGATTTTTTCAATAATACTCGTGTCCAAAAAGTTAGATCAATATTTAAATTCAAATGAAAAATTGCGACTGAGGCAAGTTTTACATCATGAATATCATGCATAAAATTTTCGTTGCAATTATTACGGGAGATGAGACATGGAGCTACGCATAGGAAACAATCGGAAAGTAATCCATCAATTAAGCGAATATCGTGCGTAAAAATAGCCAAGACCGGATAAATTGCACCAAAATTATTCAAAAATCATAGCGGTGTTAGTGCGTTAGTTGTGCACTAACAGGCGGTCTAAACTGTTAACAAGAAATATTATGACACTATTATTATACGTTTGGAGGCGATCAAATAGATTTGGCACCATAAATAAATTTAAAGAAGAAAAAATTAAATTGGTCTTACTTTTTGGACATAGTAATACCTATTCTCTAGCTCTTAAACGTAACCCTTGCCTCAATCCTACAACCTATGTCTACGTTTTCATCTGTTGTTTTGTTGAGGACGTTTCTTCTTGTAAGAAATAATGTAGGAAATAAGAAAAGGCTTGGAAAGTCCATCAGCGATAAGCAGAACAAATCTAATGATTTTGAATAGTGACGCAATGAATATTTAAACATGAGAAAGAGTTACATAAAAATAAAAGCACTTGTTTTGATAAGAAAACCTAAACGAATTGAGATCGTTCGGCAATTTGACTTATAAAACATATAAATGGCTCGTTAACAATTATTGAAGGTATTGCAACTAATTATATATATTATATTCGTATAGTAAATATATTGAGAAGAAATCTGATTCACTCGCAAAGTTCAGGAATTACTCCCACATTGCCTTTATTAGCAAAAGCGGTGATAAGTTTTCAAAACTGCTACTTACTATGTAATAGTTAAGATTAGCATTAAATCGCATTTTTAACTTTCGTGTTTTAATGAATAGTATTGAAGTATCTTCATTTTTAACCTTATATAAGGTTACTTGAAGAAAGAAATAGATTTCTTTTTTTTTAATTTTCCTTGATTCTCTCTTAGTTAAATAATTTTGGATATAAGTAATAAACTAAAACTCCGAAAGTTTAAGATATTTAGAATTTTTAGCAATAAACGCTTATGAGTGTTTGTACAGTTCTGTGTGTTTTTACAATCTCGCATAAATCTCCATGTTCCTTTAATGTTATTTAAAAAGAAATTACTTAGAAACCTTTTAGCTATGCAATTATTATACCCTTAACGGCATGCTCTTTAAACCCTTTTTTTTCTAAAAATCAATGGAAATCATTTTAATATAATTTAGTGATTGCGATTTCCATTGCCGAATAGCATAAAAAGGACAGGCTTGTAATACAAAGAAAATCATAAAATCGCTTAATTACTTCGAATAATCGCTAATGTAAAAAATTTTACGATGTAGAATAACCACTGTTTTGTTTGGCTTGATTGATCACGCATTTATTTCAGTTCGTCTAGAGAGATGTTTTACGCGAAAGCCGGTGGCGGCAAATTGCATTGTTTTTCTTTTTTTTTTCTGATGCAGATTATTTAGCAATGAAAGCCAATAAAATTCATATATTAATCGCAATTATTTATATATTACAGAAGTTTATTTAGTGATTATTTCGTTCATTAGCGAGTTTTAAGTTTAACCTTCGTTCCGAACGCTCTGGCAGATTTGCGCGCGCGATAAAAGTAAAAAAAGAATACATTTGTAATAGATGCGGTAAAAGCGCTTAGGAATTTTTCCATTACGCTATGGTATGTTAGGCTGACCCGCCAAATGTTTTTATCGGTCCTTCTATACATTTTTCATGTTCTGCTCGGCTGATTGGAATTTTTTCACTGACTTCGATAATTAAAGTTTGAACTCTAAAGTTATTTCCACGAGGTAGTTAGCTGATAGGAATAAAATTGAAAATGAAATTATTTGTAAAGTGTAATGAAAGTATTGAAAGGCGTAAAAAAAAAAATTGTAGTTAAAATGGCAGCAGGTTATAAGATTATTGAATAGTGTTGTTATTATATCGAAACCACGTATCATAATTTAAATTGTTTTCGAAGTATAATGAAATTGACAAAAAGTGTTTCAAGAGAATTTTATAAAAAAGAACTTGCACTGCGAAGATGACATTGGGTAAGTCGTGTTTTATTATAATTTATAAAACCTTACTTTATCGCTTACATGCATAGAAAGGAAATTCTTTAAACAGTTCACTAAACAGTTTTTACACATAGCTTTTAAATTACTATTTCAGACCAATTATATCGAGGAATTAAAATTTATATAAATTTAATATAAAACACACATTTAAAAACGATGTGGTACCTTCGTTATAAACAGATCGACCACCTTGGTATATATTGGTATCTCAATGGAGGGTATAGAATCTATAAAATAAGAAAGTTTTACCTCCCTAAATTTTGTTATCACCACTATAGATATAATAGAATAGGTCAGTTTTCATATTCTTATTATTAAAAAAAATTGTTTTGGTTGAGTCTAAAGAAAGAAGGTGGCGAATTAATGGAGATGCTTGTTGTTCGACGTATTTTCCCCCTAAAAGTGAAACGTTATAATATTTCCATTCTATGGCTTGCCACTCATGTGTTGCACTGTCTTTAGAGGAAAGATGAGTATGCATCATTTTTTTCTCAAGTTATTTCGTTGTATTTAAGAATATACGCGAATTGTTGAAAGTTTGTTCGTTCAATTAATACGTCTTAATTGAGTTCTGAAACTTTCATCAATAGATGTCCTTCGCCATAACTCTTACTTACTTACTAATTAAGTTAAGTCCTTGGTTCACTTTGATTGTCCAAGTAGGCAATTTAAATATAAAATTAAAATAAATATCTCTGTTCTACTTTTGTATTTACAAGCTGTATTAGGAATCCGAAAGTTATCGTAATAGTAGTTGGTTTAGGAAGTCTTTTTTTTGTGGACCTGTGTATGTTTTCTCCTCGAATAATGCTTTTCTGGTATTTTTTCCTCCTGAGAGTAGAATATTCATTCATCGCCCAGTTCACTATCTTTACTATCGGGATGATCATGACGTGAACATGCTATTGCGCTCATTTCAATTCGTCTGTTTAGTTGGGTTATATGCAACATTTTGAGGCTAAGTCCTTGATATTTCTTTTCTTTTGCTACCACCACGGGACACGGTCTATAGTGCAACTATTTTGATATATTGATATTCTTAGTTTATAGTTGCGGAGCCGTATTGTAATTCGTAAGGGGTAAATAGGAAATTAATTATATTAATTGTCACTCGTAATTATAATTATAAGTTATACGATAGGGCTGCCTTCTGTATCTCTTATATCTTGGCTTTTGAAATTTTGAATTGTTTTTAATAATTGCATAAATTGGTTTGGGATAATCTTGAATTTACTGTTCCTATACAGTCTTAATGCAGAATATAAACTTGTTTCAGTACACGGAAATTGGCCCATGAACGGCTTGTGTATTGAATTCTTGAGACATTTTCAGCCTGTCCGCCCACGAACAGCTGGGAAACGAAAGTGTGGATTAGAAATGATTTGG